AGGGGCGGGAGGGGGGGGCGGTAGATATTCGGAGATTCGTAGAGATATTGCAAGATATCTATGCAACTATCGTTCTCTGAGAGTCAATTGACCTTTACAGACTGTAAGTTACGTTTTCTCCATGACGTTCGCCCCCCCCCCCCACTCCCCGACTCCTATTCCACATGGCTCCCATTCTTAGATCCCCCCCTCCCAATCTAAACAAGGGCAGTTCGAGTTGTTGTAATAAGACGACCTAACCACTTCAGAATCTGAGTTTGATTTATTATTATCCTTGGAGCCTTGGAAGGTGACACAACCGGATACGTGCTCAAGCTGACAGTCAAGACTGAGACTTTTGTCTCCTCTTGTGTTCAACAGTAGCCCTAATCACAGCCCTTCCACCACTACCCCAAACCACCAAACACACACACACCGTCCCCTGGTTTCCAGCCCATGAAGTTCCAACACCTTTTAATCCCGTGCGATATATCAAAATGTGGTTTTATGGACCCACAATGAAGTAGTCTATGAGCATGGTACTTACTTTCTATAAATGTATAGATCTAGAGTGAAGCGAAATAGACAGCTGACATGTAAGATTACAACATTTCTGAGCACCTTCAAATTCTATGTCCAGGTACAAACGTTGCACGAAACTATAATGTTTTCCACATTCTTCAAACATAGACACCACTTTATCTATTCCGGTCGTCAGCAAGCCTATATCTTATTTGGAAAGTCAAAACGAACAGAAATTCTAAGCCCAAGGTTTTAAAAAATGTCTTTAAACAATATAACACATAATCGCCAGTCTGCAATGTTTTAAGAGACAATCAGTACATACAATTTGAAAAAATAATAAATGTAGTTCAGTTACTTATAGTATAGTGGCCAGAGCACAATAATATAATCGTTGTGTAATAACCTAATCTCAAAGCAATGTTATTTTTGTAACTGAAACTGTCGGCCCGTGTGTTTAATTCAAATCAATCTATTTGGGTACAATCTATTCAGGCAAATCAGGTAAGTTGGCGTTATCAACCTTATAGCTTGTGCCGTTTCACCATTCTGGCTTTTGACCAAGCGCTGCACGAGGTTTGAATTAAAGTCCCACCGTATTAGTTAAAGTCTCTCTGAAACGGTCGCTCTCAGCCCCGTGGCCTATCAGAATATTGAAGCACCCAGAGTGTCCAGAAGGGAGATTTAACGTCAACAATAATATATGTGAGGCAGCGTGGTGGATTCAGGCTCTCGTCAAAATAATAAAAGTGAATTTTTATCAAATTTTTGTTTTTTGGCTCAACACCTTTCAAGCCCATTAAAGAATTAATTTCAGTGTGGAGTTTTCCTAATAACGTTGGTTAAAGGCACAAAAAATGTAAACTTTCTGTTACCACGGACTCTTAAGATTAGGAAATAACTAATCTTTGGCGGCCATTTTCTCACTAATTTTTCCTTTGAAAACAGGTAACCCCCACCTCCTTCATTTGCAAATATCTCGTCTTGTTTACAAGATAAATGGATATTTTTTCATCCAAATAAAGACAGGTTAACAAGCTTTAAGATGATACCAATAACTCTACAGGCCCAAACATTGACGAGAGCCTGATTCCACCACGCTGCCTCACATATCGTAATTAAGTCACTGGTAAAACTTAGTTGTGATCAGAGATCCGGATCCATTAATTGTTTCCGAGTGATGATTGGGATTTGAGCTGCACTTCTTCAAATCTCAGAGGGTCTTCCTCTAACTCTTTTTGCCATCGGGGGTTCCAACGTAGGGTGACTATGGCAGTAGGTTTAGTTTGAGTGAGGTACGGGAAATAAGGTGCTGTACTTTCATCTCCGCTTCTTGATTTAAAGACAAATAGATTTAACTGGTTTCATTCATTTCTGTATTTATCTATTCATTTATTCATTCATACATTTGTTTATCTATTTATTC